CTGATTCATATTTTGATCATACACATCATTCAATTACACGCATAACTTTTCGAGCACCTCCACCTATTGTTGATCAATATGGTTTACCAAAACGACGACCTCTCGATTGCATGATTAGGTACATTAGATAAATTTTTATCGAATTATAACTTGTAAAATTCTTAAATTATAATTATAGTTATCAATGGAATAAACAAGATCTTGTTCGTCAAGTTTATGAAGATTTTCATATGCGTAATGTACAAATTTGGTTTGATATTTGGGGTGCAATGCAAGGTAGTACTAATGATGCAATGGCTACAGGTTTGTCTATTTGTTGATCTTTAATATATATAATCAATTTATAAATTCTTTCTTAGGTGTGGAATGTGCTAAAGTAATACTTGTCTTTTTATCGAAAGAATATATTGAATCGATAAATTGTCAACTCGAATTTCGATATGGTGTTCAACGTGGAAAAGCTTTCGTCATTCTTCGTACAGAATCTAATATATTAATGGAACAATGGATGTTAGAAGCTATAGAAGGTTTTCCTCAATATGATGTTTATTCTTATAATGTTTTAGAACAATCAATCAATGGAATTCCAATGGTATATCAAGAAATCTATAAAGGGTATCCCAGAAGTTCTGTTACAATTTTGAAATTCATCCTTCTCGCGTTCAATAAAAGCCAGCTTTTTGAAACTTTGGCAGATTATTGTATATATCAAGTACTACATAACTACAAAGTTTGAAGTCTATAGTTTTTACTATGGATAAGTGCCAATAACAAGATTATCATGTACTAATTTTTCAATATTCCTGATCAACTTGATTATTATTAAAATCAATATAAACAATAGCAATAAAAAGAAATGCACAATAATGGGTATTGATGTTCGCGTCATTAATTAACATCTTGATGATTTACTAATTTTAATTATGCTGATATTTTATCAATCATTGATTGACATAATGAAACAATAAATTTATTATTGGATTTATTTTTAATGTTGTTTTCCAAATGTTCAATATCAGTATTCTTGCCATTGTGATTTCTCTATTAATGCACCAAAACATTTTCGATAGACCAACGGTAGACTAGTTAGCAGTACAACTTTTCGATTCAACTCGATGGATTAAAACTTCCTCAACGGTATTACAAGAGAAATTACGATGGCAAGAATACTGATATTGAACATTTGGAAAACAATATTAAAAATGAATGTAATAAATTTAGTGTTTCATTGTGTCAATAAATGATCGATAAGATATCAGTATGATTAAAATAAGTAAGTCATCAAGATATTAATCAATGACGCAAACATCAATATGATCAGAAAAATTGAAAAATTAGTACATGACAATCTTGTTTTTGGCACTCATCCATAGTAAAAGCTATAGACTTCAAACTTTGTAGTTATGTAGTACTTGATATATACAATAATCTGACAAAGTTTCAAAGAGTTGGTTTTTGTTGAACGCGAGAACGATGAGTTTCAAAATTGTAACAGAATTTCTGGGACATCCTTTATATCAAAAATTTTATTTAATCATTTTTTTCGTTAAGATTGATGTTATTGTTCAAGCCGTACGAAGTCTTGCTCAAGCTCAACCACCTGATCCTGTCGATGATTGTTCAGCTGAACTTTTTGAATTACGTTCACTTCTTGATGATGCACGTGATGCATTAAGTATTCAAACTGGTGTAGCACGTTACAAAACATGTACACGATGTGGACAACAATTTGATGATTATTCAAAAGATGGATGCAAAAAGCATTCAGCTTACTTTCTTGGTGGTGGAGGTCTTCTCGAAAGTCAATGGGTATGTTGCAGACAACAAACAGCAGATTCACCTGGTTGTATACCATGTGAACATATTGATCAACCACGTGTATTTGTTGAAGATCCTCAGTATGGTACATCGACATGGAAACCAGCTTAAAATAAATCGAACAATCATATATCTCAGTTATAATTAAATAAGAGGAATTTTCAATATAAAGAGAATTTATTCATTTTGATAACATAAACATATTTTGTGTAAGACTATTAGTTTTTTGTAGTCCTTGCCAACAGTTCTTAGTTTCAATTCATTTTTACCCAAAACATCGTTAATAAACGAGTCTATTTCACTTATCCTACATAAGTAGAATGAGAAAGAAGTAGATAATATCCTATGAAAGAAAAATGAGACAATCATTGGTAAGAAAAATATTCTTAAAACAATACAATCAACATACACTCTTTTTTCTAAATAATACGATCTGTCATTGGTAATATTTAACATTTTCAATAGATAAATAACTGAAAAAAAAAGAAAATCAAATTTATTCTAGTCAGTTGCTTATGTAGAGATTTGAATAGTATAGATGGAATTCATTCACAATGGAATGTACCCGTGCACTGAGTTAATTTGGTCCTATGATCCATGGCAACGGTTTTCGCATATAGAGAATCTAAAGAATATTTTTTGTAGATTATACTGGAAAAGAGTATTGAAGTGACTTTACAATATTTTTTCAATAATAGACTATTGTTTCCTATTAGATGTGGTTCAAGATTTTTTTAACACAGAACTGATACATCGCTATGATGACGAAAGAAAAATATTGTCTATACTGAACTTACATATTATTATGGATATAAATACTAAAAAATGTCAACAAATGGCAGAAATTATTTCAAAAAAACACAGATTCGCAGAGGGGGTCTTCTAAAATGTCTTTTATTTCATTTACCAAGGGTGATCTTCTAATGTGACGAAAGCTTTATGACAAAATCTGATATGTTATCTTTAATGAATTGATCTGATTTATATAAAACATTCTTATTCAAAAGTAGTCTTCTTTTCTAAACGTTAATATCTACTTTTTCGTTGTCTATTATTAACAAATACATACTGTATTAAATTAATGAATATTTCGTACAATCATGTCATTTCGTTATATACGGTTTCCTTGCCTTTGTATAAAAATAATAGACAGTCCTTGTCAACTAAAACAAGATCTGCTTGGGTCTCTAACAACTACCACGATTTTTTTTTATTGTAAAATTTCAAACAAAATCTATGCTAATAAAACTTTATGTCATTTCAAAGTCGGCTGATACGTGAAGGAATCTAAGGCATGCAACAAACAGAGCTTCTAATGAATTAATCGACTGTTTCATTTCGAGAAATAAAGTCGAATAGGATTGTTTGCATGAACTTTGAATTAACCATTGAATATTCAATATCGATGAGTACACTCAATCCTTTCAATATGCATTTTCTCTACATGTTGTTCCTAGAAAAAAGTACACTGAAATTTGATTATGTTAAACATGAAATATCTTAATATCAATAAATACAATTTGAAAAGAATGGAAAGATTGTAGTATAAATATCAAGATGCTGATCTTTATTATATGTATTGGTGAACGATGAGCATGAGAACGTTCAACACTGGAAAGTTAAATTAGCAACAATAAATGAACATAAAGAGCGTCGATGTGCACGGAAATAAAGAGAACACCAATACCTCTGTTCGCACCCTCACATTCAACTTTACAGCGTTGAAATTTTTCCTGCTCATTGTTCCAGTCCCCTTAATACAGCGTGTACGAAGCGTGCGTCCAGTTTGTAACAGGTGTTTCTCTATTAGTCGGTTTTCATTGTACATTTACATGCTAATTTTATCTGATTTTCTAGTGAACTTTAGGAAAATAATTTATTTTCTGTTATATTTTGTTTATAATTTAAAAAACGAAACAACAAAAAAGAAGCACAGAAGCAGATGAAGAATTTGAAATTATTTATTTTACATTAAAAAAATTAAAAAATAAAACAAAATGGAATTTATTTAATTCAAAATTAAAAAAAAATATACAATCTAAAATTAAAAGTATTTAATCTAAAACTAAAAAAAATTTAATCAAAAAAAATTAAATAATATTTTAAAAAATCTAAATAATAAAACCTTGAAATTTAAAACAATTGAAAATTTTGAAATAATATTTGATTAAGAAATCTACTAACATTTTATAAAGTACGCTCTTTGTTATTTATTGATTGATAAGAATAAATCAATAACAAAAATTTTAAAAAATACACTTTATATGTGTAATGAACGAATATCACACAGGGTATGAATAACGTACGGTAGAGAACTCGGTACGTGTAACATACGTATTATGACACACGTACTAGACGTACAAGGTGTAATGTAACGTGTACCAATACTGTCCGTGTGGACGTGGGATATTATTCGTCTTTATGAAAAGTCTCCTTATTCTCATGAAATCTATTTAAAATCAAGTAAAAAAGTACTCTTTCCGTACCCTTGAACATTGCATAAACAGTTTACATATGGTGGACTAACCATGAATTATATGTCATTTTGTAACTCTCACTTTGCTATATGTCAAACGACTCCAATCACTGTTCCATTGTTAACAGCTGTTGAATCATGCTAGATGGAAGAATAGTATTTCACATGATTGATTTTTGTGATGAAATAATAGTAGCTCTTATATAAAACGACTCAAAATCAAATACTATTTCTAACCAATAAGAATTGATTTTGGGATATACGAAAGATGCGCACGACGAAACTTGCGCACGAGTCGAGATATAAAAAAGACAAAACACACATTCAATAAACAAGAAACACAAATTAAAACCTATTGCTCATGTAATATAATCCTCAATTATTTCAACACTATATTCATATCCAGCTAATTCATTCAGTTCATTTTCTATCCAAAAAATGCTCTTCAAAAGAAGCAAAACTTTGAAGTTTTGCGGGAAGTTGTGTGAAAAAAAGGAAATATTCATAGTAAGTTTCTGGACGTTCAGAAATGTTTAACTCCAGCACTCTCCTTTAACCGAACATTCTTTGTGAATGATTCCTACCAGTGAATAACTGTTTGTGCAAGCGTACGACGTCATCAACAGAACGAGAAAAAACCGATATGATATATAAATAGATACATTTACACATTTCTTATATCCATTCTTGTTTTGACTTGTGTCACATGGCTAGTAACAATGAATATGAAATCGCTCTCATTGACAATGAAACAGATGCACGTTTATGTGCTAAACTAATAGCAGAAGAATTTGCTTTACACAATCCTTTATCGATTTTTAATCAGGTAACAGCTGAACATTTATTTGATAAATGGCTTTGGCCATTAATGATCGATGTACTTGATGAAAAATTATCATTTCTTGTAAGATATCGCCCAACGAATGAAATTATTGCAGCAACAATAGCAAATGATCTATATTTAGTATGTGAAAAATATCCATATGATCCTTTTAGTCCTGCATCTATCGATCCAATGGTAGACTTATTTGAAGAAATACGTGATCGATTTGTTCATCATGATTTTGACCAAAAGTTACAAGCAAATATGGTTTTATGTATTTCAGCTGGTGCAACACGATCTCAACATTCAGGTAAAAGTTTAGGTATTCAATTACGTACTCGTATATGTGATCATGCACGAAATACAAAAGGATTCCAATATGCATTTATAAAAACAAATAATCCAGCAACACGTCATATTTATGTTAAAAAAATGAATGGAAAAGAAATGTCAATTCTTGATCCAGCAACTTGGGTATGGAAGAAAAAAGGCGATGGTTTATCATGTCCAGTTAAAGACTATAAGGGCGAGCCAATTGTTAATGTTCTTGTCAAGTTGAACGAACAAAATTAATATTGATGAAGATTATTTTGTTTTTCAAATAAATCCTATTGAAAAAACTTTTGATCAATAAACAATAAATAAGAATAAATGTTGGAATACTGACAATAAAGATTATTGTTTTTTTAAATTTTTCTTATAAATTGATAAGAATCAATTTTAATAATAATCTAATATATTCTTAAGTATTACAATCCAGAATTAAGATTGATTGAACATTCTGAAGTTGTGAAATCATTGACACATAATTATTTACAAATTTGTTTCTTTCAAAAATTTTATTAATCAAGTTCTTTAAATGACTGTGTTTTTTTATGACTAAAAATATAATCGTTTAGTAAGAGATGTTCAACTAAAAAAAATTCATCATTTTTTATATCCTCTCTACATTTATGATCTTAAGGGTAAAACTAGGCAAAATGAAGTAACAAATGATCATACTATTGTCTATTTAACAGTGAAAACCATAAATGTGTATAATGATAATCATAAATGTATAGTTAAGTAGTAATAAATGATGATATTTCGATCAAAAATATAAAGAAAAATCATGATTTTTGACTATAGAACCTATACCATGACATCCTAGAACATGTCCAAGATTTTGTGAAAACACTACATTTATGCTCCTCATACTAAGTAAAACCTCACTTATATTAAGATAAATAATTTAGATGGAGTGTGAGTGTACTAGTGTGCTTGAAGAGAAGACTGAATCCACATCCACATTATATATCTTAATACAAGTGAGGCTTCATTTAGGGTGAGAAGCAGAAATGTAGACCTAAAATTATAAATGTTAATTAGCGGACTTATAAATTGTGTTTTTGAAATAAAAAATGTAGAGAATTTTGGAAAGTGTTAATAGACATCCTGTAGCTCCTTAGTATATGTTTCATAGCTGAAAATCGAGATTTTCTCTGCATTCTTTTTTTTTCATCATTCTCCCATCATTAATGTTGGTGATGAACTTAATTATTGTCCTATTGTTGATGGTCGACTAACACCTACTATTAAATTCTATAAAGATACTTATGAAGTTGGTCCTGTTACTATTGAACAACCTACAAAACCTAATGATATCAATGTTACTGCTGTTATTTTTATGAATAGTTGTTAGGCTCGCGTGTCTCTTTATTTTATTTTTGTTATCATGGTTTTATGATTGTATTGAAATTTTGATTTGTTTTTCATTTATTTATTTTGATGTTAACTGATATTTATTTTTAATTTCGAAAATTTTTTGTTCATAATGTTTGTATTATTGCTAGATTTCAATCAAATATTATTATGGAGGGAAGTACTGATACAGGCGATTTGGGATGGTTTCGAAAAGTAAAAAGCAAATATATGCTTTTATTTCTTTACATATTTTCGTTTATATTACCATATATAAGTTAATTTTCTTTGTTTTTATTGATTCAGCTAAATTCTCTCTGCATTCATTATTTTAGTTGCTTATATGTTCATTAATTATTATTAATTTTACTAATTTACCAAATGGAACAATAACTGATTGGACACTTTTTGTATTGATTACAAGTTATGAAGTTGCTTATTTAGTATTTTGGATTATTTATGGAGCAATAAAACTTCGTAATTTATATAAACTTCATACTGGTGAAATTAATCAAATTTCAAGTGATTATTCAACTAATTCTATAAGTGAATTTATTTTTCGACTCCAAGCTAATATTGAATATTTTACTATATATATAGGAAATATATTTTCGTATGTTTTTAATATTGTGTGATGCGGGTATGGTTGCGACATTTTATTTTAGAAAATCCATAATTAGAGCGGTATGTGTGATGTTATTAAAAAAAAAGAATTACTTCTCAATGTGTTTATCTTTCAGATTATTTCCGGTATTTTTTGTGCACTAATGATACTGGAAGTATGTTGCTGTTTTTCGACAAAAATACGAATAAATACAACAACTGCTATAAGTGAAACAATGCCACTTCGAAGTACTACAACTCATTCAAATCCATCAACGGCTATTGATACTACAATTCCTCATACACGATCTGTATCAGTATAAACAATTAACATTTTATTATGATTATAGTTAAATTCACGTCAGGTCTTTTTTCTTTTTATCTTATATATTGACCTTATACTGTAAACATTAATCATGTACTTTCTGTTCTAAGTCTAACGTAAGAGTAATATGCTAAATCAGTCAGTTTTTTTTTCTTTCATTTCGTTTCTATTTTTAATTGGACTTACTTTTTGTGCATTGAAATACATAGAAAGTTTATTCATCAATCAAAGAAAATGTTTATCTATTTTCAAAAACTTATTGCATGATTGTATCGGCAAGCACAAAAGTTGTTCTTGTCCAGACATAAAACTATCAAGAAGATTTGTATCATAGATAATATCTGGAATTACATGTGTTGATCGTTTTACTTCTGGGTATGGATCGTGTATATTGTTAAGATTATAGTTTATTTGAATGCACACATGTCATTCTAGAAAAACAAAAATTTTCTTTTACTTTTTCATCGAAATAATTTATTTGCAAGCAAATACAAACTATTTACAATTTATCTTGTACTATTTCCAAAAGAAAGTTGTATTTTTTGCAGATCTGATGGGTTTGCAGATAATAGATGTCGTTGAATATTAACAGTCAGTTCAAAAAATAACAAATAAAAATGCTTATAATTAATCATCCATGTAGTAAAGAACTTTATCGATGTTGCTGTATATTGAAGCCAAATCAAGATAAATTAGCAGAAGATTTTTTAGAAAATTTTAAGTGCGCTTTCATAAAGTGAAAGTATTTTCGAGTAGTCATCTATCTTGTTACACATCATAGTGAAGCTGTTATATGAAACTATCGAATCAAGAAGATTTGAGAGAAAAAATATTTAGTAGAGTTGAAGTTCATTTTGATAGTATAAGCCTATTTCTAAGTACTCATTCGTCTTTTCATCAATGCAAACAATACTGTTATACAACATTCAAATTAGAATAAAGAAAGATAACAATTCTTTTCGAAAGCTTCGATTCTGTTCTTTGTATAATGTAATTGCTTGTACATATTCTCTGTAATTTAGTAGCCTTTGAACGAATCGATTACATAATAAATAATTGTTTTTTCACTGTCATCGGAAGTCTCATCGAGTATAATTCCATATAATTGTTGAATTTTATTAAACGACTTATATTTAATTGATCGATAAAATATACTGAATGAACAATAAAAATGTACCAGTAAATAAATGCATTTTTTGACCAATAGAAAAACTTAAATAACAATAATTTAACTATAATATCAATAAATATACTTAATTATCAATAACTTAACTAAATGAAAATTGATTTAATATTATCACAAATAATAAATATAAAATGATAATTTGTTATAATAAATGATAATTAAATGGAGAAAGTGGATCAATATTCTTGAATTTAATTACATTCAGGCGGATATAAAAGTGAATACATTTGTGGAATTAGTCAATAAGCGATTTAACAATTCAAGGTTTTAAACGAATAAATGACATATTCATTCGCTATCTCCATCATATGTGTGTCATATGGTATTTTTCCTTTTTTTTTGTCCTTCATCTTCTTTTCTGTTCTTTCTTATTCCTTGGTTTATTCCTTATACGTATTGAACTGTGTTATTTCCAAGTGAGAAAAAGATATGATATTATCTTTTTTTCCCTATTATATCGTACTACAAAGGTGGGAATTGGCCACTTTCTTTTCCCCTCTCACTTCAAATATGTAACTCAACTGATTCTTTTCAATTGCCATCAGAATTGTTTTTAAAAAAACATGACAAGCATGAAGATTTTATCAATTATTTCAAATCAGAGTGGTTAACGGCTCATTCGGGATGGTATGAAGGTTACTCTGAATATACACCAAGCACTAACAATGCTCTAGAAGCTACGAATAACGTTATCAAACAAGAAAACACATTCGGAGAGCGTCTTGTACTTTTCAGATTTTTGGTTGTTGCAATTGAAATGGTTAGAAAATGGTCTAGAGATCGTGATGAAAGACAACCAAAGGCCATTTTATTCATAAATGAACCAACTATAACATTAAGTAAATGGACCAAATCTTATCAATTCGCCAAAAGTCCAAAAACAATTATAGAGTATGCATCAAAAGCTACCGATGAGATTAATTATTATGTACCAGCAGGTGCAATTGAAAAACTAACAAAAACGCAAGTAAACAAATACAAAAAACAAAAATGGAACAACTTTGATGATTACAAAGAATCATTAAAAATTTGGAAAGTAACCTTACCCAACAATCCATCTCTTTGGAAAAAAGGATCTTGTAACTGCTCATCATTTTTCAAAGAATTTGCTTGCAAACATGTGATAGGGCTTGCAATACGACTAAAGTACTGTACACCTCCACCTGCAGCTAAAGATGTAAAAATAGGTGAAAAAAGAAAACGTGGTCGTCCTAAAAAGGCAACTAAAGCTTTGTTAACAAAATAACTCTAATTATTTGTGCTTTATTATTTATCAACAATTAATACTATAATTGTCAAGATTTATTTTTATATTTGTTGAAAATAATAAATTATTGTGAAAAAAGTGCTTTTTTTATTTGTTAAAATAAATAAATTATTGGTAGTTCAAGTTTCACTTATTTATCATTTTTCATTTATTTAATGATCATATTATTTTATTGATCATTCAGTATTTTTTTATTTATCAATTAAATGCATCCCTTATTAAACTGATCTGTTTAATTAACGATCGATCTGATCGAAACTATACTTTCCATGAGAAAATGTTTCTTCTCATATTCGCTTAGTTAAAGCATCCAAGTACGTAACTTTATTATTAATCAATACTAAATCCAATTGTAAGAAACAATTCTTCTGATTGATGTTTTTTTATTTGTCCTATGCGAAATATAGAATACCTGGAGAAGAGAATTCATTCTTTTGTCTGATAATAACTGACGTCATGAATATTGATAAACGAAGTCGATGAGATCGATTGATCAATAGTTATTTCACAAACGATACCTGTCAAATCTGCATTATATTGTTTACCTTCAGCAACTAGAAGAGACATCTCTCAATTACTACTTATCAATAAAAATATATTAAATAATATTAATTTATCTTTTGTGTTAACCAATTGATGAAAGAAGAGACAAACTTTGATCATGATAAACAGTAAATGAGTCTGAATGATGATGTTCATCATATAGCTATGAACGACGGTGAACAGTGTCTTCGTAAAGATCACATACAAAGAACTCTAATTTAATAATAAGATCAATGTCTAAACCACATAGCGCCCGATTGCTCATCAAATACAAAGAACAAATGTGGATATACCACCAAATAGGTATCTATCAACGGAATTCTAGTTGAAATGTATGAACATTTTTAGATTCATTTGTACTGTTGTTTTATTGTTCTCAATAATACGTAATAAATTCTTTGATATATTGTTGTTTAAAATCAATCGTTAATAAGATTTCTTCTAATATTCGAGTGTGCATAAAAAATTGATCAAGTTGTTCGTTTAAGTTTTTGTATATTTCATCACTCATACCAATGAAAATCATGAAAATGATTTTTCAATAGCATTCATGAAAAACTTTTCATATTTCTGTGAAAATCTAATTAGAATATAGATATTATCAGCAAGCAATATATGTGACTTAACAACTCAGTCATACAACAGTATCGACCTATATTGGTACACAACTATAGTGGTATAAGGTAATTATATAGCGGTATAAAAGAATAATCGAAGTTTGAGTTTTATACCACTATAACGATATAGCAGTATAAGGGATAATAGTGGTATGAGTCTTATACAACTATAACAGTATAAACAGTATTAGGAATAATAGAGGTGTGACTTTTATATCGGTATATTGGTATAAGACTCATACACCTATTATTACTTATACCACTTATACTGATAATACCGCTATGTCACTATAGTGATTAAGAACTATACTTTTATTATTTTTAATATCGCTTTTACGACTATAGAAAATGTATCCAACGAATGTGTTATATGGCTTATACCGCTGTAGTTGTATATAATTGTTTTTGCGACAAATTGTTTGTTTTTCTTCGTGACAATGATTTTTCCGCAAATTCATATTTCTCGTCAGATGTTTAGAGTATACGTAAATAGCCTTGAGAAAGTTTGATTCTCAAGCTATTGATCCGTAATATGAGAATATTTCCAAACGAAAACATATGTAACACAAAATATTCTTTCTTTTGAATCATAGCAACAACGAAATATATTTGATCTTCCAAAAAAAAATACTCAAAGGTAGATTTTTTCAAAATTAAAGATTATAATGATACTTAAATTTTGTGATTATATAAAGGAAAAATGATGTATCTTCTCGATGAGAAACAAGTTTGCTGAAACTAGCGCTACAATGAACATTATCGAAATGATAGATCATTCAAATATAGATTTCTGAGTTTCGGCAACGTGCTTCTTTACAAAATGCACATTAATCTTAAATTGGCTTAATTCCTCTATTTATATAATTTTCAAAGTCAATTAAACTGTTGCAAATCATGACTGAATTCTGATCAAAACATGGGAGAATGAAGTTATTGCGTTTCTACTAAAGACAGAATGTTACACTTCATAATATTGAAGGTTACAAAATAGAATGTTTCAAAACTTCTATATGATATAGTAGACAAATCAAATTATAACGACGAATATATTTCAATAACTGGAAATATTGTAATATGCTCTTGAGATCAAAATATAGTTCATATACTTTTATTTATATACTGCAATTAGTTTCTCCTTACTATTGGATATGTTTCTTTTTATTATTGATTATTAGATGCTATCATAAGTTTAGTTTTACATACAACATCTAACATATAGACCATGACAGGAGTTAATACAGTAGATCAATACTATTAAAAGCATCCAAATTGCGACTTTAAGATGTATTTAATGAAAATATCTAATTTAGAATGGTTTTAGATTTGTTTTTCTTCCAAATAGTCGATAACGTTGTTGAAATGACGTTCTATAATAATTTTTTCTAGAGAAATGTTTCACTTTGAAAGTGCAGATACTCAAGACCAAGCTTTTCGAACATGCACTCAGTATAATGATTTCCTCTCCTAAACTATATTATATTTTGCGAAGTCAAAGCAAGCCCAACTCGGCATAAACTAATGGTTACAGATACGAGTCAAATCGATGGAATCAAATTTTTGATGATGTTAGTAATGGTAACACGATTGTTGCTCCCCGGACACTTGTTCCGCAGCGACACTTGCTACCCACCAGCACTTGCTCTCCGAATAGTTGAGGGTGTAGGCGCGAGGCTGAGTGAGAATGAGGGCGCAGATGAGGATGAGGGTGTAGGTGAGTGTGAGGACGAGTCAGAAAATGAGTTCCAGTTTTGATGAGACATGATTTGGACCTGGAGAGCAGCTGTCGCGGGAGCAACTGTCCGGGGAGCATCTGTCATGGAATCATTAGTAACATATACTCATCTATGATCACTGGAAGAATTTTTAATGCAAATCTCTTTTAGCAATTAATCTATCATTTTCCAATATATGTCAACTATTATTATATAAGTATAGACTTATTTGATATGTATTTATAACTTTTGGACTATCCCAATGAATCATCCAAAGCGTCAGGAAAAGTAGAAGTGGTCTCAAATAATGTGAAGTTACAACTCAATACAAGTCCTAAAAAGATAATCATTTTATGAGAAATTTATAACATTCCTGTTTAATCGCATTTAGAAGGCGAAAGAAAGTTCACTTAACTAAGAAATATTATATTGTGACTTACAAATCTGATATGATATACATATATTGGATTAACTCACAAAACAAAAAACTACAATATTTTCATATGATAGAATAAGAGAATATACATTTAATTAGCAAGCAACAAAAATTTACACATATAGAAAAAAAAACATATTCAGTTAGACGATATTATCAGTAGTAAAAAGTTCTTGTTTTCGTTCACATTTCAATGTAGATAAATACCATTTGATATTTTTATGAACATAGTTTGTAATAGCAAGAAAAGAAGATGTTTTCTTCGATTGTTCAGCAGTTGTATTGGATGTACTGTTGTCATCAATAACCATTGATTGATCATCAAATGAAGCATGCTAAAAGTTTGTAAGCAATATTTATAGTTTATATGCTCAATAAATCAAAGTTTGTTTGCTTCTCAACATTTATGAAAAGCTTTTATTAAATGCTCAATTTTAAGAGACTTAAAAGATCTTTTGAATAGCTCTTGAAAATGTTGTACTAATTTATAATGCCTATTAGATTAGAACAAACTAAAATTCTATCCAACTTCGATTTTTTACATTATACTATTGCAATTCTCTATTTACTTTTTCCTTTTACATTTATGACTTATATATCTCCAAAACTTTCGATGTAGATTTAATTATTATGAATGTGATTGATACTGCTTATGCAGACTTCTGACTGAATTACATACCAAATACAACAGACTGATTTATGGAATTTCAAAAATTCAAAATGATTCATATTCATAGCACATATTTATCTACTTATACTTGATTATTCTTTCTTTCATACTTAGCATAATATATTCTTCGAAACATCAACCTATAGTATTTTCGCTATAGAGAAGTATTTCGATTCTTAAAATAGATTAAAATTTCGGGCAAACTGGTATATCCTTCACAAGATATCAGAACTTGGTAAACCATTGATTTCTCGAAAGTTTTATAGAAAACAACTATTTTTGCAATCTCGATTTCCAGGAACGATTACGTTCATTATGACTAAAATTTTTGATTATAATGAAAAATCAAGTTGATATAATATATTTTGATGTTACTGAAAAATATTTGGTGATAGACTGATATTGAAAAAAATGATTTTTCAATTCAAATACAAATAAATGATGAGAACAAATACTCACCCAATAAAATAAAATGTGTTGGATAGGAATGACAATTGATATGACTATTAGAAATGACACAATAACGACAACTGAATAAGCCATTGCTCGTTCTGAGCGGTTAGTTGTCTTCTGTAAATGACAAAATTCTCAGTTATACAAATTGTGAAACATTACATACTTACAGCGTTATGAATCCCTAATCGTAATGTAAAACCGTTCATTACGACGAAAGAAATCCACCACAGTATGATCATTATTGGATGAGAAAAGAGTCGTATCCACCATTTTTCTTTTTTTTCTTTTCGAAATTCAGCTAACGAATCTGGTGAAAACATTCCACGAGTTATCTTATAAATGTACATGAGATTGTTGTCGATCATAAATGAAAATATCAATATTTTATAAAGTAGCTATAATAATCCGATCTACAATGAAATATTTCATAGATTACATGAAAGTAGCTCTTTCTCAAATAATGGTTTATGATGATGCATAATGATTAATTCAAGACTACAGAGAAATTTAACTAGTTTTTAAAGTGTTCATTATTATTGTTTCTA